GAAGCTAGACCACCATAGAAAACCCGGGAGTACTGGACGGCCGTCCCGTCCTATTGTAGAACCCTTCAACAGTGCGCACCCTCGACCCCGCCTCGCGGGATTCGAACCCAGGACCTATCAGTTCCGCGCCAGGCGCCTAACCAACTAGACCACTGAGCCGGCATCCAACGGTGTTAATGTCTAACTTCAACTAATCCACGAAATTGAGCGACACATCCACCATTGTCATCAGTGAGTTACTACCTCACAACTGACCCGGAGTCCCACAATAGGACGAAACGGCTGTCCAGTGCTTCCAGGTTTTCCATGGTGGTCTAGCTTCAATTGACTCATGATTTCAACTGTTGAAATATTTTATTTTAGACTTAATTCCGCCTATTTATCCCGGTGTTTTTTTTCAACAATAAAAAAAATCATTCGAAATATGAAGTAAATATTATCGATCCGTCTATACATATGAATAAAGATTTCTTTCAGACAGTAAGAAAATATTACACTTTCCGATCAATACTGTTATTCTCGTTCATTAAAGAAAAACGAAAATTACAGACGTTTAAATCCATTATTTTGATGTTTAGATCATTTAGGATAGAGTGGTCTGTAAAATTAAATACAAAACTCTGAGAGTAAATAACTAGTTTCTCTAAATAGAGATCAATGCATAATTTAATACAAGGTACAAATCGAAAAAATAAATATGATCACATGCTGGAGATTTTATTATTTAATAGGAATTATCACTAAAATATAGAAGTATTATTTTCATTTTATAGGTCTACTTGATTGAAAGAGTTTTTGATCCAGTATGATTTACAGTGTAAATAGATACTATTATTATCTTCGTCTAATAGGCACATGTTGACATTTAACATATAATTATATTGAGTACAGTCTCTTTGTAGAGAAACGAATGACGAAATGACAGGATGTGTAGCTTTGTTGAAATTAGGATAAGGAGTTATCTTCATTTACTTTCCAGTTATCAAGAAAAGCTATCTGAATAACTGTATTTGATGGCTTACTCAGAAATGTTTACTGGAATGGTGAGATTATGTTCAATAAATGGAATACACCTGTTAAGACACTAAACAAAAAAGATTTGTTCAGCAAAGAGTTCTCTTTTCGGCGAATTCGTTTTCAAAGCTGTTCAAACGATTAGTAAGGCATCTTTTGTGTCTCATAATTATGATTTCAAGTATATAAAATTAAAACAACGAAAAGCCTTTTGTGATTCAATTACGATGAAGCGCCAAGGCATTAAAACAATCCCCATGTAATTTGGTATATAAGTGAAACTTGATAGTAAGTCAACGTCTCCATTTAGCATTAATCAGTATTCGAAGAAAGCGAATTTTTGAGGAACGACCTAGACTGTTTCTTGCTTTATTACTGATTGTGGTTTCATTTCGCATGTTATTTTTCCCAAACTGCTGATAGAACTTTTGTTTTAAAATTATACACATGACTGGGATTTCATACTTTTTCGGTTAGTAACTTGGTGGATCTATCAATTTTCTTTAATTTTATGAACAATAGATATCTTCAGGAAGCAGTGTTGATTTTAGTTTTCAAGTTACGCATGTGAGTTATTAGAAGAAATTAGTCTTTTCACTGTTAATATGTGAGTTTTATGTGATAGCTTTGCAAAACTATACATTATATTGCATTAATCTTTCAGAATTATAATTGTTCGCCATTTACTCTGGAGGATGATGACAATGTGGAGTTTGAAATGGATGACGATACATATATGGCTTACTTATCATGTTTTGATCAGGATATTATTTCAGATAGTTTGGTACCGTCTGATTCACACAATATTCCATTGGAATCTTCTAATGTGAATACGAAGGAAACATTTATAAACGAGCTGAGATCGGAAGTAACGGAAGTAGGTTTCTTTTAAATGCATTTCATTGTTTGCAGAAAACATTTATTAGTGCTTTATTTATATTTTCCATTTTTCATAAGTGCTCAACGCTGAAAATACAAAAACTGTTGATATTGTACTGTTTGAAGTATGCTGAACTATAGTCTCTTGCTCTGAAACCTATAGATTTACCGAAATAAAAAAATTAATGAAACCAATTTCAGTTCTACATTTAAGATATTCACTTTAACGCAAAGTAGATAACACATGAAAGCTGGTCATAACATCTTGTTCTAACACTTTTCTTAATAAGTAATTTCCTGTTAAAATATAAGTGTAAATACCTAAATAACGTAAAATTTCGTTTAAAAAGCATTGTCAGTTCTCACAGAATTTTGCAATTATATCGTAATCTTGGCGGTATATCTCAACCAGTAAATTTTAATAATGGGTTCTGGTTGGTTCTATTTTCTGAAAGCCCTGATTCTGCTTCCCGTGGCCTCCCCGGCGTAGGTATAGCATTGAGTCCTAGGGCAGAACTAGCTCTGTTAGAGTGGATCCCAGTAGACAGTCGTTTGTGCGCTGTCCGACTGAACGGAACAGTAAGAATCCGGAAAGATAGAGACACTCGTCGTTACCTCTTCGTCGTCTCTGCCTATTCTCCCACTGACTGCAGCTCAGATGATGTAAAAGATGAGTTTTACAGAAAGCTTTCGGACCTTCTCCGAAAAGCTAAGCGCTCGGATGTAGTAATAGTGGCCGGTGACTTTAATGCTCAAGTAGGTAAACTAAGCGATAGGGAAAGACACCTAGGTGGATCTTATGGTGTCGTGGCTCAAAGAACAGATAATGGCGACCGTCTGTTGCAGCTGTGCTCAGATAACCGCCTGTTCCTTGCAAATACTAACTTTAAGCATAAGGAAAAACATCTTTTAACATGGTGACCCCCTAATTCGTCCCAACGTTGGACCCAAATAGATCACATCGTTATCAGCCACCGATGGAGGGGCTCGATAGAAGACTGTCGCTCATTCTGGAGCACATGCTTAGATTCAGATCATGCTCTAGTACGAGCGCGTATTTGCTTGCGTCTTACTGGACGTAGGAAAGACGCTGCAAGGAAACCTCTTAGGGGCCTACTTAATGATAGTCAAGCTAAGAGTATATTTCAGGAACAACTAGGAAAACATTTAGGCAGCCATGTATGTGATGCCCACCCCGATGCAGCATGGAATGATATCCGAAAAGCTGTGGAAACAGCAGTGATATCTGCTAGTACGGTAACCCGTAAGGTTAGGGAGCAACACTGGATCTCAGCAGCATCTATCTCACTGATAGATGCTCGGAAACTCATTCCACCTGTCTCTGAACATAATGAAGAGCGGAGTCAGCTTTTGCGCAAGCTGACAAGAAGTCTACGCAATGATCGCGAACAGTGGTGGGTAGCGAAAGCAAGAGAGATGGAAGAGGCAGCGGTGATAGGTAATAGCAGACAATTGTTCAGACTTGTTAAGGAAACCGGAATTAGGAACCCGACTGCTAGCGAAACACTCAGAGAAAGATGGACATATTATACATTCTCAATCAAGGAGATTGGATCGATGGGCAGAACACTTTAGGGATCAGTTCAACTTCGGTTTCCCACGATCTCTAGTCAACCTGAATGGCAAGTTAATGTAGGTCCTCCGTCCCTTTACGAAGTTGAAAAAGCCATAGGAAATCTGAAGCAAGGGAGAGCAGCAGGCCCTGACAGGTTTACTCCTGAGATTTTTAAGGATGGTGGTCCAGTATTAGCAATGAGATTAACCGAGGTCTTAGGTAGAATTTGAGAACTGGACGTAATCCCATCTGACTGGCCTCAATCACTGATTGTGCCAGTCTATAAGAAAGGACAAAAGTCCTTTTGTGACAATCACAGAGGAACCAGTTTGACTAATATAGTGTCTAAAATATCAGCTTCAATAATACTTCGACGCCTAACCAAAGCTCGTGAAGAACAGACTAGAGAAAATCAGGCTGGTTTTCGACCTGGACGTGGTTGTATAGATCAGATATTCACACTACGTCAGGTTCTAGAACACAGACACACATTCAGACGCCCCACAATCGTAGTATTTCTCGACCTTAAGGCGGCATTCGACTCTGTTGATCGTGAGGTTCTATGGCAGTGTTTGTCACTGAAAGGAGTACCAAAGAAGTACATTAACCTTATAAAGGCTCTCTACTCGAACACAACTGGTAGAGTGAGAGCTTATGGCGAACTGTCATCAGAATTGATTACCTCAAGTGGTGTTCGTCAGTGTTGTCCACTCTCTCCATTCTTGTTCAACTTTGTGGTCGACGTACTTTTAGAGATAACACTCTCCTCATCTAAATTTCCAGGGGTTGAACTTCTACCGGGAGGTTCACTTGTTGACTTAGAATATGCTGATGACATAGTTCTATTTGGTGAAGACGCTGACAAAATACAGAGTCTTCTGACCACTCTAAGCAACAATGCAAGCATGTTCGGGATGCGATTCTCTCCCTCGAAATGCAAAATGTTGCTTCAGCATTGGGTTACATCGACACCCGAACTAGTGATAAGGAGTGAAGTAGTTGAGTGTGTCGACCGCTTCACTTATCTTGGAAGTCTCATCAGCCCTTGTGGTCTGGTGTGTGACGAAATCTCAGCACGGATACAGAAGGCTCGACTAGCTTTTGCCAACTTGCGTCATTTATGGCGCAGGCGAGATATCCGTCTATCAACCAAAGGACGGGTTTACTGCGCAGCAGTTCGTTCCGTCCTACTTTATGGCAGTGAAACATGACCCGTAAGAGTAGAGGATATTCGTAGGTTACTAGTATTTGATCATAGGTGTCTTCGAAACATTGCTCGTATATCCTGGGACCATCGAGTAAGTAACACAGTTGTTAGGAAACGGGTACTAGGTAAGGATGGCAAATCAATTGATGAAGTTGTTAAGGGTAATGTCCTTAATATCTGACTCCAAATAATAATATTCCGTAACTGAGTATTTAAGGTAGGCTTAATCTCCTAGTAGAATTACGGATTTACTCGAGATTATTAAGAAGCCTGAACACCAGTTATGGAGATAATTTATTGTTAATGAATAATGATAATCCACAAGCGTATTGTGAGCAAGCACACGATGGGAAAGAGAGAGAGTGAGTTTGTTAAAAATCCATATATATTTGAGGGTTAATCGGGTGTGAATAAATTATCGATTATCTGCACGTTGAAACCAATAGGAAAATAGTTTAAGAGTTAATGTACAGACATGCATTCGATCATACACACCGAAATTAACATAGTGAATTAAGAGTCTAAGTTACAATGAATAGACAGATGATACAGTGGCCAAATGGGCTTGCCACATAAGCTCCCATCCAGAACATTGATGTTTTTATGTAGCAAAAAAAATTGGATTAACATCTATGTTCGACAAAGAGATAAAGAACGGAACTGTTTTTAAAATAAAAGTACAACTCAATATGATAAGTAAGCGTAAAATTGTAATAACAGCTTGTGTGTTGAAACGTTTCATATCATGTATATACAAGTGTATATTTAACATTAATGAATTGTATAAAGTTAAAATGTAAGCATAATGATGATCCGTGGGGCCAATAAAAAAAATAGTAATCAAAATAAAGTAGGATTTTTATGTGTTATAAGAGTAGTCTCAGGATTTGGTCTAGATAAATATGGTGGTTGCTACATACCTATCTGGCCAATGTACTCTTCTTCCTGATCTTGTTGTAGTTTGTGCTGCTGCTGAACTTTGATTTGAAGTGTTGCTTGTTGCAGGTAGTTTGAATGGTGCTTGCTCTGCTGCAGGTTTAGACGGTTTTACAGTTGTCTGTTTTTTCTCAAAAATATTTCGTCTCATACCGAAAGGTACAAAAGGGCGAGTTTTACCTGTTGAGGTATCACAAGTTAAGGTGTCCTTGTTGTTTAAGGGGATGTTTTGGAATAATAATTTCGTTTCCTTAGACTGCAAAAGCTTTTGTAGCTCCGTATCGAGCTTTTGATGCTTTGCCATTTCTTGATAGTCTATATCAGGGATCGAGAAGGTATTGATATTTAATCTCGATAGTGCATCTGCTGCCTCATTTGCATTGCCTTTAATATAGCGTATATCAGCTGCAAATTGTGAAATGAATTCTAGTTGACGAATTTCGCGCGGACTATATTTATCATGATTGTGCATCAAGGACTTAGTTAGGGGTTTGTGATCAGTATATATCGTGAAAGAATTGCCTTCTAACATGTAGCGAAAGTGTTTGATGGCTAAGTAGATAGCCAACAGTTCTCTACCGAATGTGCTATATTTTGTTTGCGTTGCGTTTAGCTTTTTTGAGAAAAATGCAAGGGGTTGCCATTGTTCATTGACACGTTGCTGGAGTACAGCACCTACTGCTACGTTAGAAGCGTCGGTCATTATTGCTAAAGGTGCATCAACCTTTCGTCGTGCGAGTAATGCCTCTGTGCTTAAAGCGCTTTTCAACTGATCAAATGCTTGAATTGCTTGCGGTGTCATTGCTAATGATTTAGCTCGTCCCCTTAATAAATCAGTTAGTGGTTTTGCTATGTCTGCACATTTAGGGATAAAGCGTCTGTGAAAGTTTATCATCCCAAGGAAACGTCGTAGTTTCTTGAATGAATCAGGCAAAGGATAATTTTTGATAGCTTGTGTTTCCTCAGGAACTGGTTTAATGCCTTGCTTATCAAGTACGTGACCTAAAAAGGTGAGGGATTGTTTTCCGAACTCACATTTGTCAGGATTGACCGCTAACCCATACTCGTTTAGCTTCTCAAAAAGCATTTTCAGATGAGTTAGATGTTCATTTTCATCTTTGCTTGCTATAAGTAGGTCATCTATGTAAGCATACACAAACGGTAAGCCCCGTACCACTTGGTCAATAAAACGCTGGAAACTTTGTGCAGCATTCCTTAATCCGAAAGGCATGCGGACGAATTCGTATAGTCCAAAGGGGGTAGTAATGGCTGTTTTAGGAACATCGTCCGGATGAATTGGAATGTGATGGTAAGCACGGACGAGATCAATTTTTGAAAAGATCGACACGTCAGATAGGCTATGAGTGAAGTCATGCAGATGTGGGAGAGGATATCTATCTGGTATGGTCCGGCTGTTGAGAGCTCTATAGTCACCGCACGGTCTAACTTCGGAAGAGTTTTTCTTAGGTACCATATGAAGCGGTGATGCCCACGGACTATCGGAGGGGCGTATGATGCCCAACTCAACCATTTTGTTGAATTCGTTCTTTGCGATAGCCAGACGAGAGGGATCAAGGCGTCTTGGACGTGCGAACACAGGTGGACCCTCTGTCTTTATGTGGTGTACGACGGTATGCGTCGGTTTGTCGTGTTTGAAACTCGGTCGTAATAAATCTGGAAACTGATTAAGTAAATTGACGTATTTGTCGTTCTCATGATGAGGTTTAACTAATAAATGTATGTAAGTCTCATTTGATACAATTCCTCTAATTTCCTTACTCTGTTCGGCAAGGACAAGTTTCCTATTTCTGACATCTACCAGTATTTTGTGGAATTGCAGAAAATCAATGCCGATTATAGGAACGAGGACGTCCGCTATGATGAAACTCCAGGAAAAATTAGATTTAGGACCGAAATTTAATTGCAACCGCCTTTTGCCGTACGTCTTGATGTCAGACCTGTTTGCAGCTTGTAGTTTTAGTTTGGGGTCAGGTGTGTTTTTCTCGAGTGCAGTAGGTGGTACTACACTAACCTCTGCCCCAGTGTCGACTAAAAACTGTGTGCCGGTCCTTTTGTCTGTAACATATAATAGACAACTGTCTTGAAAGTTGTGGTCAGTGAGTGCAGTCGTCATTAACCTACGGTCTTGACGTTCCTTTTTCTGTGTGCTTGCAAAGTTACAAGGCGGAGTACATTTTCTTGCTTGTTTGCCATATGTTCTATGGTACCAGCAAATGTTGTGTCTAGTAGTGCTTGGACTACGTCGTCTACGGCTTGTGGATGTTCCTCTACGCTTGCTGTGGGAGGCATTCAATAATTGGATCTGAGCTATCTGTTTCGTAAGGGTATCAACTGATCGTCGTAACTCGGCGATCTCGTCAGCTGAGCTTGATTGGATTTGAGATACAAGGTGAGTCTTGGACCGTTCGTAAATTCTGTCGGCTATGTCTGCTAGTCTATCAAAATCAACGTCTTCGTCTCCAATTGCTAGTATCTGTTGAATGTTTTGAGGGAGACGTCTGAGCCACAATTGATATAGTAGACGTTTGTCTACTGTACGATTTCCTAATAAGTTTGTCATGTGGCGTTTTAACTGTGACGGTGTATTGTCACCTAGCTCCACGTTGGCTAAAAGTTGATCAATTGTCTGTTGATCGGTGAGAGATGTGACCTCTCTTTTTAGACAATCGAATGGTGAGTCAGGATCCGGCTTAAAAATGACATCCGGCACTTGTTCAATGACTTCATCTGGCAGCAGTGAATTTGCATAACTAAATTTCGTACTCTGGTTTGTGATTTTGTTTGCAACAAAAAAGCTTTCCAAACGAGCAAACCAGAGTTCAGCCTTTCGTGGATTAAAAATGGGTGAAGGTACAGAGATGGCACCCACGGAAATAGATTTAGATGAAAGGCTTAACGAATTATCAAGTGCCATGATACGAAAAAGCAATAGTAATAATAAGCTGAGGATTGTAATATACAATATGAAGAGAAATAAAAAATAACAACAAAAAATATATATATAAGACTCACCGAAAAGAAAAATTGTCACTTTGGGTATATATATGAGAATATACAGTAATAATTCCAAAGGGAAAATATTATGAGTGAATTTATTATGACTGTCAATGGATTGTTATTAATTATAATAATAATTCCAATATGAAGTTCTTTATGATACTCTTGAGGAGAATGCATCAGACTTTGGAGGAAAATGGTGCGCGTTCTAAAGGCGGGTCACCAATATGTTAAGGGTAATGTCCTTAATATCTGACTCCAAATAATAATATTCCGTAACTGAGTATTTAAGGTAGGCTTAATCTCCTAGTAGAATTACGGATTTACTCGAGATTATTAAGAAGCCTGAACACCAGTTATGGAGATAATTTATTGTTAATGAATAATGATAATCCACAAGCGTATTGTGAGCAAGCACACGATGGGAAAGAGAGAGAGTGAGTTTGTTAAAAATCCATATATATTTGAGGGTTAATCGGGTGTGAATAAATTATCGATTATCTGCACGTTGAAACCAATAGGAAAATAGTTTAAGAGTTAATGTACAGACATGCATTCGATCATACACACCGAAATTAACATAGTGAATTAAGAGTCTAAGTTACAATGAATAGACAGATGATACAGTGGCCAAATGGGCTTGCCACAAAGTAGTGAAACTTCATCAGTTGAGATGGCTGGGACACGTGTTACGTACGCCCAACGACCGACTGCGTCGACGTGCGATGTTCAGTGGTATGGGAGTAGGTTGAAAGCTCGTGGCGGCCAGACCAAAACATGGCACAAGTCCATGAAGTCACTGACAAGTGGTCTGAGTGATGTTGGTAAGTGTAGACTACCTGGTTGGGGACCGCGAGATGATAGCAACCGATGGTTAGAGACCCTGAACGACATGGCTCAAAATCATTTGCAATGGCGCAGGTGCATCCACTCTCTGTGTTCTCCCAAATTCTAATCTTCTGAATTCTTCATGTCCCTTTCTTTTTTCTCTTTTCAAATTTATTTCACTGGATTATACTCTTTAAATAACATCTCCAGACCCTAATCTTCCCGTTTACTGCTTATACTCTTGCTACCTCTACCCTTTACGGGATTTGAATCGACCACTGCATCACTGTGCTATTGTGGTGTGGCAACTCGAACTGATGTACGTACGTACGAAGTTCTACGTTATTACTGACTGACTGAACTTAGTCATTGTAAATCTTTTATTTTCATTCGAAACGATCAATTAATATCAAATTTCAGTATGCGATAAGCTTTTAGTTTTTCTTGCGAGTAATATGTTCGCAATATTAGTAAACTTCATTTATACTATTAGGCAACAATCAGTTGACTTTCTGGAAAAATGTACTTTTTAGAGGTACGTTCGTATCTAAAATTTTACGTTTTAAAACTGAAAAACAGTCCATTTTGTTCGTATTATGAATAGCTTCCTTTTAAGATATTTTGGCGCCTAGCCGCCCATTTAAAAATGGAACTACAGTTTGTTATTCAATGATTATTTCAAAAAATAATTTCAGATTTATCAGCAGATGAACCGAATGTGTGTAGAATTATGTGCTCTTACTGGAACGAAACAAGAATCTTGTAGTAAAGTTGGTACGCATACTCCTGATGAATTGGCCATGGTTGAAATGGATTTTCGTTTGGGCTCATTACGTTCTGTATTGACTGATTTACGTGGACTGCTGAAAGATTTGAGGATTGATATTCCAGAACAGCCTACATCATCAAACTTATCTAAAGATACAGTAATATCAGATGGAAAAAAAGCAGAAACAATTGAAGTAAGTAGTTCCAGTATGATTACACAGTATATCCCAATTTTCAGTAATATTATATTTTTCCTACTCTGAGTGATAATTGTATAAGTTACAGAAATTAAGGTCATATCCATTCTATACTTTATAATAATAACTGTTATATCCGAGTGAAGATTAAATCACGAGTAACTTCTGAGACAATAATGGTATAATTATATAATAAATAGATTATGTATATTTATATTTCTCTTATTATAAGCTTTATTTTGACCTATAATTTATTATTGTACGATTTGCGGTTCTTAAGCTATGTTCAGTTTATTGACTTACTGCCTCCCACGTTCACAGCCACTTTTTTGGCCTTATTGTGTACAAATGTTATTTCCTATTTCATGGTACGTTGTGGTCTGTTTGCTTGATATATAAACCGAGTATGTCTGAAATAAATGATTCGATTCGCATATTGGAAGCTGGTATTGGTGTTCTGGACTCAAGTGGAGGGGCTAGGCGGACATAGGACCAATAAGGACGCTAGGCTGCTCATACCGGTCGAACGCCATTGGTTTGACACAGTGCTAAGATTGTATAAGTCATATTTTGATTGGTGGATAAATCACGTGATGAAAAGCCGGACAAAGTCATGACAATAACAATAATAATAACACTTGGTTAAATGATTAAACATACTGTCTAAGTAAATAATATTGTTGAGAATACTGTGATCGTTTTTTGTTTCATGAGTTATCTTTACTTTTGTTCAGTAGAATGATGATGCTAACCAAATTTTGTAACTGATGACGTGTTACGCAATTTTTTCATGAATGTATTATAGCACAATGTATTCTATAGCTTTTACAAATCTGGACATCCTCCAACAGGCTTTTTTCTTTGGCAATAGATTAGAAATAAAAAAATTACATTAGTTAGACCAACTTTGTATTTCTTTATTCACTATTTATTTATTTAAACACATAGACTTTGGTACAAGGAGGCACCAAACAAATATGTGCCACATAAGTCATTCAATTTATGTGGGGGCTGGGATACTGCCCGGGTGCTCAAACCGAAGGAGGGTGTATTTCTTTACCCTTAATAAACTGCTGTTGAAGCATTTCGCTACTAGTAATAATTTCGTATATGAAACATTCATAATTATAAAGTTGAATAATAAATAATTGAGGTGAAATTGTTCATGTGAAAATTATGCGCAAACAACATACAGCATAAATCTGATAAAATCAATTTTTTCAACTTCCTATAGAACAATAATTTTTGATAAAAATTTAGAGCTGAAGTAGATTTAATCAAAATATACAATAAACTCTTGCTTGAAATGTGTATCTGTGATAATAAAAACATTTCTAGAACAACTTGAACATAACTAATAATATTGTGGTGTGCTACTTATATTGACATAAGTAGTATATGATGTTAGTTGTGAACAGAAGGTTTGGCCGCAGAGAGATAAGAGAATGGAACAGTAAAGAACGGAAACAGGATGCAATTTGTATGAAAATGCAAGAACAATGAAGTCTGAGTCATTTTGAGACAATTGGTGGAGATTTTGCAAATTAAGCATTTACTTTATGATTATAAGATTTTATTAACAAGTCCTGTAATTTCGTGTTAAATACATTCGATTGTTCCCACTGGTGTTCTTGTTCACTACAATATTACTTATTTGTACGAAAAAGCTACATTTAATTAACAAAATATTAACATTTCGACAAGTTAACACGACAAAATCACCAAAAGATCATTTATTTCAAATAAATTTAAATTTATTATCATTTTTCATAATCCTCATTTAAGAAAACCTTTTTCAAGTAATCAATGAACATGAATACCGAAAACATTTATCCGCATTATTACTACCAGTGATTGTTTATCATATGCACAATAAATATACTTAACAAATAACACTAAGGTAGATACATAGACATTCTTTTCGCATTGATGCTTATCTATCTAGTTTTATTATTTCTATTGTTTCCAGATCAGGTTGTTTTTTTTTAAATTGACTACTTATTCTACTATTGTGTTTACGATAGTTTTGACAGTAAAATGGTATTATGATTCTTAATGGCTTATTTCTTTAAATTTTCATTTTCATCTCTGTGATATTTTTAAGATGTGCATTAAAATACACTTACGAATGGATTATGAAGATAAGCGTTGAAATGTTTGTCAATAAATATGACCCAAAAACAAGTGTAGATTTTACTTTCACTAATTTACAATGTTTCTTTTTCGTTTATCTAGTCGAAATGACTAACAATTTTGGAATTAGAAAATAGTGTCATTTTAGATTCCTTTTTTATTAGGCCGTTTCACTAATAGTTCTTAAATAATTATTAATATCGTCTTAACTATTATAACTCGATTCATCATTGACTCAGTGGATGAATACGTTCTGCTGTTGACCAAACGGTTTTTGATTCAAGCTCATTCAGGGGCAAAAGGTACTTTTGTAGGGTAGTAACTCTGTAGTCAAGACGTTTGCCTTATAATTAGTAGGTCTTAGGTTTGAATTCCTCTCCATCTACTTTGGTTTAGGCAACTGAGTAGCATCAATAACCCTCACTCTTCGAGTTTGGTTTGTAGCCAAATATCTGATGAATGAGTTAATGAATTTTATCGTTAAGATTTGTCTCCTTTAGTGATTTTCAGCAGACATCTTATAGACTGACTTTTATTAAAAATAATTTTATATTCTAAAACACTCGTTCGCAATTTCGATCCAAATCCAAATCTATCTTATTCAAAATTTAAAAAATTAAATGCATAATAAAAAATCCGACTCCTTAGTTCACAATAATCTATCACACTCTCATAAGAGTTAACAGAATAAATAAAAATGAAAGACAAAATTATAATACAAATAAGTTCTAGTTATTTGTGTATTCTGTTTGATTAGGTCCAATACTTATTCAATGTATTTTTACTTAATTTTTTTCTTTACTTAGCCTCTTCGTATGTCCAGTTCAACTAATGTGCAAGATATTCCACTTGCTAATTATGAAATGGAATGTCAACTTGTTCGTTCAGAGTAAGTAATCCTAATAAGAGTTTTGTTTGTTTGCAATTAAACATGATTATTACATTGAAGTGTTCACAAATATAGATGTTCTAGTAATTAGCAATGAACACGAATTTGATTTAGTGTTTTCTTCCAACAATTTATGTTAATTGTACTAGTATATTGACCGGAATCAGTAATCAAATAATTTATCTACGAAATAACATTGTTTATTTGCAGATGGGTTTTTCTTTCAGAAAAGTTAGATAAACTCAAATTCATTGATGGACAGAATAATTTAATTGTAGCTTTTCTCTTATATAAATATTCTAATTCAAAGTAATAATTCCTTTTTTATTATCTATTTATTTTCTATATTTTACTTGTAAATTTTTTTGTTGATATTTACCTAGACGTGATGCACTTGCAGCTGAACTATTGAATGCACAACAAGAACTTCTTGAACTTAAAAGTCAAATTGAAAATAGTTCAGGAAACTCTAGTGAAGTGCAAAATTTGCAAAACACTAAAGGAAATAATTTTGTTGCTAACTGGGAGGTAATTGAGTATTTCCTTTCTCATTTAAACTTTTAGATGTGAAATATATCTTTATTTCGAGCATTCAATTTTCAATTTTCGATGTAAAAAACACGGTTAATGCACTTACTTACTAACTTACGCCTGTTACTCCCAATGGAGCATAGGCCGCAGACCAGCATTCTCCAACCCACTCTGTCCTGGGCCTTCTTTTCTAGTTCTGTCCAATTCTGGTTCATTTTTCTCATGTCTATCTCCACTTCTCGGCGTAATGTGTTCTTTGGTCTTCCTCTTTTCCTTTGACCTTCAGGATTCCATGTGAGGGCTTGTCCTGTGACGCGGTTGGGTGCTTTCCTCAATGTGTGTTCTATCCACTTCCAGCGCCTCTTCCTGATTTCTTTCTCCGCTGGGATCTGGTTTGTTCTTTCCCACAGTAGGTTGTTGCTAATAGTGTCCGGCCAATGGATCTGAAGTATTTTGCGTAGACAATTGTTAATAAACACCTGTATTTTCTGGACGATGGCTTTCGTAGTTCTCCAGGTTTCCGCCCCATACAGTAGAACTGTCTTGACATTTGTATTGAAAATTCTGACCTTGGTGTTGGTTGACAGATATTTTGAGTTACAGATGTTCTTCAGTTGTAGATATGCTGCTCTTGCTTTGCCGATCCATGCCTTCACATCTGCATCAGATTCACTGTGTTCATCAATGATGCTGCCCAAATATGTAAAGGTTTTTACATCTTCCAAAGCTTCTCCGTCAATTGTGATTGGATTGATGCATGCTGTATTGTTTCGGAGAATCCTGCTTTTCCCTTTGTGTATATTGAGACTTACTGCTGCTGAGGCTGCTGCCACACTGTTCGTCTTCTCCTGCATCTGTTGTTGCGTTTGGGATAGAAGGGCCAGATCGTCTGCGAAGTCTAGATCATCCAACTGCATCTTAGATGTCCATTGTATCCCGCGTCTACAGAGTTCTTCATCCTGTTTAACAATACCCTGTTGAAGACCTTTCCTGGTATTGAAAGAAGAGTAATGCCTCTGTAGTTATCACAGTTGCTGAGATCGCCTTTCTTTGGTATTTTGATCAGGAGTCCTTCTTTCCAGTCTGTTGGTACTTGTTTGTCATCCCAAATCTTATTGAAGAGAATGTGGAGTATCCTTGCAGTTGCCGCTACATCTGCTTTCTGTGCATCTGCTGCAATATTGTTTGGTCCTGCTGCTTTGCCACTCTTGATTTGTCTGATGGCCATGCTTATCTCTTCAGTTGTTGGTAGGCCAACAGTGATTGGGTGGTCCATGGGTGCTGCTTCGATGATGGGTGGGTTCAGTGGAGCTGGTTGATTCAAGAGTTCTTTGAAGTGTTCTACCCACCTGTTTTGTTGCTCTCCAATGTTGGTGATTACCTCGCCTTCCTTGCTTTTCACTGGCCGTTCTGGTTTGCGGCGATTTCCAAGGAGTTTCTTTGTCGTGTCATACAGTTGTCTCATGTTTCCTTCTCTTGCAGCCTTTTCCGCCGTCGTTGCTAAATCTTCCACATATTTACGTTTGTCGGTTCTGATGCTCCTCTTCACTTGTTTGTTTACTTCTTTGTATTCAGATTATGCCTTGGCTTTTTCTGCTCTTGTTCGACTGGTATTGATTGCTTCCTTCTTGTTCCTTCTTTCTTGAATCTTATCCAGTGTATCAACAGTGATCCATTCCTTGTGATGGTGGTTCTTGTGACCCAGGACCTCATGACATGTTGAAGTGATTGCCTCTTTGATGCCCTTCCAGTTGCTCTCCACAGTAGTTCCTTCTCCATTGAGTAAATCATGAAAGGCCTGGAACTTGTTGTTGAGTTTGTTAGTATCCTGGAGAAAGGCCGTATTGAACTTTTCTGATATTGTCCGCTCCATCGTCCAGTGCTTCTTGAGCTTCAATTTCATCTTGGCGACCAGCAAGTGATGATCTGACGCTATATCAGCTCCTCTGTTGGTTCTCACGTCTTCCATCGTCCTCCTGAACGTTTTGTTGATGTAGATATGGTCGATTTGGTTTTGTGTATGCGTTTATGTGGGAATATGGTGCCGCCTATGACTAGTTTATTGAAGGCACATAGTTTTGCAAATCTCACCATTTTCGTTCCTTTCTCCCAGTCCGTGTCGTCCCATGATGTCTTCATATCCAGTGTTGTCCGTTCCAACCTTGGCGTTGAAATCTCCCATCAGAATAGTCAGGTCCTTTGTTGGGCACTTCTCGACGATTGACTGCAGCCTATTGTAGAATTGATCTTTAGCGTCTTCATTGTAGTCGTTGGTAGGCGCATAGCATTGGATGATGTTCATTGAAATGCCCTCTTTCTTTGTTTTGAAGGAGGCTTTGATGATCCTTGGTCCTTGAGATTCCCATCCTATAAGCGCATTTTGCGCTTGTTTGGACAGCATCAATGCAACTCTTTGTGTATGTGGTGCATTTTCTTCTTCATGGCCGGAGTATAATAGGAGCTCTCCTGTAGTTAATCGTTGTTGTCCAACTTGTGTCCAATGTGTTTCACTGATCCCAAGTACCTCTAGGTTGTATCTCCTCATTTCTGCAGCTATTTGGAAAGCTCTTCCGGTGTGCCACAATGTACGAACATTCCATGTACCTAAATAAATGGTTGCTCTGGTTGTCAGAAGGGGCATCGGCCTCGTAACTTCCTAAGGAATTCGGCTTTCATCATGAGGCGTCATAATTCTTCTAAATGAAGACCTTCTGACTCCCAGGGCAGAGTTTAAAAGATTTGAATAATTTTCTCTGGTTAGCGTTTTTTTAGCGAGTTAGTTTTCTACGGGATGGGGACGCTAACCCCATGCCCAACCCTCCTCCTTTATCCGGGCTTGGGACCGGCAGTAGCCCCCGGAGGGACTCCAGGCGGAGTTGGTTAATGCACTAGGAGGAAGAACTATAACGAAGATTGCATTTACTTAGTTCTCGAAACTGAAACATCTGAAATAATAGCTATCTATCCCTTTTGCTTACTTGGCAGTACTATGGATAACAACATTGTTGTCAAATTCGTGTTTTATGATAATTTACAAGGATCATGAGGGTTCGGTATTACGTTCGTTTAGAGATCAGATATGTACTAAAACCGATGACAGACGAAACTATAATTTATGGACGAAATAAACAGATTTAAGATAGCAGGTCTTGGATTTTGGCGCAAAATTCATTCATCGATATAGATAAATAACATTTTGGGATTATAACTAATGTCAGTTCGTGATGAAAATCCCAATCCCAACCCCTTATCATAACTTTAAATAAAATATTAATCCTTATTCCTCTCAGTTATTCATAACCCTCTTTTGACCGTAGTAAGTAGATGAATTCTCTCAACGTCGCCTTAGCGTCGCTTAACGGTCACACATAAATTATAGTCTAATCACGAAGACATAAATTAATCAGCGTTATTTCAGTGAGTATTAATTTAAGTTTATGTATTTGGTAATTTATATACTCCAACAACCAAGTCTTATAACAAATCTATCGATTGAAAAATACCAAAACAGTAACTAAATGTATGGTCACTTGAAAAAGATGTGATCGTTGCAATAAAATTTGAATCTCAGGAGATCAGATACTTCAAGAAGAAGCCATTAGCTAAGTGGATATATTTTTCATTAGATAATAAAGTATTTCTTTGAAAATTATTCAAAACTTAAATCTAAGTTCGTTGTAAGTCAACAAACGTGTCTCTATTTGTAATTTTGTTTGGAATAAATACACTGAAGTATTTAGAATATGGTTTAGTATTTTTGTTTTTTTAGATAGCTTTGAAATCATCAAGTCGACCAGTGGAGTCTTGAAGCGGGTTTTTAGAATATAGGTGTTAGTTATTGCATTTCATTCAAATTTAATTATCTTATACTCTCTTCTATACACTTAAGCTGTTACTGGCACCCGATTTGTACATATTTATTGGATTAGCTTGCAAATTCAAGAGATATGTCGATGAAATTTCAGCTCTAATTTATATGGCTAAGCATAATATCGTGGTTTAATCATTAATTTATTTTTTGATACCTGGAGCCTAGTATAAATGCAGCCAATAAAATAGTAAACATGGTGGTGGGGAATAACTTCTTTGTGAAATAATACTCCACGCTGATACATCACTAGATTTATGTCGAACATATTTCCTTGCTTACAATCTAATGAATAATAATGATAATGAAAAAGGTCTTCGTTGAATGAAATGGTTGGCGATATTTTTGTTATAAAAGTTATACTACTTTAATTTACGCAAGTAGCAAACTTATCCTGCCAACATTTTGGTCGTTCAAATAGTAAACAAAATTCACCGAGAAACTTCATCTATGATCGTTGGTCAAAATTTACAGAGTTTTCTTTCATATTAGTAAGTGAACTTCACAACTAACTACCTTTCGTGCAATATCACTGCATCTCTGTGCTAATGTGGTGTGACAACTCGAACTGATGTACGTACGTACGAAGTTCTACGTTGTTACTGACCGACTGACTGACTTTCGTACAATATGATTAGTACTATTAATATTTACAACAGGAATTAACTTATAATCATACAACCGTGGCTATTATATTAAAACTGGATTTCTATTTACTATATTGAGTCCTTTCATCATTGTTGTACTTCATTGAATTTATACTGAACGGTTTATATGTAACGTTAAAAAATTCACCGAAACGATACTAACTAACTAAATACAGATGTTCAGTTTGTATTTAGTAACCTAATCATTTTGTTCTGCGAAAATATATACATGGCGCTAAATAAATTTTTTATATCATGATCCAAAAGTTTCATAGATCTTTCATTTATAACATCAATTTATGGTTTCGTATTTTCAGGAGTTTGAAGAAGAAAAATACGAATTTGAAATGCCTCTCTAAATGATCCAATTTTATTGAATCTTGTATTGTTCAAGTCTATCATAACTGCTGCATAATTTAATACAGTGTTTGTTTCCTGCTTTTTTCTCTCGCTTAGTCACATGTGCGTGTCGTTTGTTCGTTACTATGATTTTGACTATAATTATCGTTTTCGTGAACAACCAAATCAATTTGTTTTTAATATGTTTTTCCTCTAACAAAAATATTCTGTGATCTCAAACTGATTGCATTTAATATTATTTTCCTTTTATATCTCTTGTTACTTATACTGTCATTATTAAATACTCAATGATTTGAAATAAATGTGTTTCTCAAACTTCAGTATTACGCGTTATTACATTACCATAACTTACAAATATATTAAAATGTGTTTATCACTGACAAATAATGGGGTGAAATAAAGTTGTTGCATATAGAGTATTATCTACTATGAACTGTTACTTTGATGATTCAGAAATCCATTTTGTTTAACAGAAGTTACTTTTCTAAGTTATTGTATAATGGTTAGTACTATTTATTGATTTCGATATTTCAACTAGGGATATGTTATGCCAACTGATTGGCGAGTGATGACTTATATCTATGTAGTTTTATTTGGTTTAATTCACAAAATTGGCATACTTATAATAGTAGATATTTTGAAATAACCATGTATGTGAACTAGTACACCTAACATTGTAATAACCGTTATGTATTAATGATGTAAGTTATTGACACAAACAAACTTGTGTAACAAGGTTCATAAATTTTCATTTATTATTGCCATTTTAAACAGTTTTTCATAAATATTTAAATTTACTCTCTAATCGCCAAATTATCATGGAATCCGTTAGACAAACTATAACAATAAATATCATGTAAATATTAGTGGGACTGTTGTAAACAATTTTAATTTTTAAATATTGGTTGTTTGAATCTTCCCATTGATGTTGAGGCCTGGAATTGGCATTTGTGCTTTCTGTGCGTATCGCCTCGATGTTGCCAGTAAATCACAAGCATTTTAAACAAAAATGGATGGTAGCTAGTTGTGGAAGCCAGGGCGCGCCTTTCGTCCCTTTTGAGACTCGTCAGGTGGATATACCTGCACCCCAGAGTTGGTGGTCACTCTGGGACTCAAATCCAGTACCTTTGATTTTAAACGCCATCGCATTATTCTCGCATCAGGTGCATCCAGCTGACGAGTCCCAAATAGGGTGAAACGCCCATCCTGGATTTCAATGCTAGCTACCATCAATTTCTGCTTGAAATATTGTAAACGATTGTTTATGTGTGGAAACCCGTAATGGTTTGTGAATAACAGTAATACGTCTGAAGGCAGGCAAATAAAGATCAATGAATTCATTTAAAAATAACGAATATAGTTGGAACTATTCCCTTCAGAAATTTAAACAAAGGGAGAACGACAATATTTAGATAATACGACGAATTCACTATATTCTATTGATTTCTCTTCAGCTGCTTAAAAGTTATTATGTTTAATTATTTCCAATTAAGAGTATGATACTAATTTCAATCGATATTAAAAAAGTTATGCATAGTATGGAAGAAGTTAAGAACAAGTTTTAAAAGGAATGATCTTTTTATAAATTTCGATAAAACAACACGGAGTAGATCTTTTTATAACTTAATAAGGTTCTAGTTCTAGAATTTCGATATTAATTTTATTGGTTGATATGACATTTTTGGAAGCTTAGAAAAGGAAAGTTGACATGATTTCAACTTACCTAATCGTGATCACATACAGTTGAAAAATGAAGTGGTCAGAATGGTTCCAACACATTTGAATGTTTACTCCCGACTCTTCTTGTGTACAAGGTCTGGTTAAGGCATCGTAAATGTTGTGGGTTCTGTGGATTTCAGTAACGCGTTCACTAAATACACATTGTGTCACGTGTCAAGCAGGTGGTGTGCTATTGAATTCCCTAAACAATATCCTCTTCGGTTATGTATTTTTTGGAATATGCTTATTATAACGGGTAGATGTCCATCTTTCAATCTATACACTTTTAAATGCACATGTGTGCATTTGGAAATATTTTCTGACGGATATTTACCTATATTTGTTTATGTCCATGAGCATAGTGTCGTGTACATTGGTACTAATTTCGTGCCAAGGAATTTGCTTTTAGGTCCTAAACAACTGATCTTAGCCACCCCATCTGCTTGACAGTATAATTTATTGCTAAATTGGAACTGCACATTCTTAGTACATAGTCTCAGTAACTGTTTCAAATGTTATGTGTTAAAAATGGTTAACCTTTGCATCCGTCACGATATAATTACTTCAAAATTGTGTTATTTTTAATTTAGAAAGGTCATTTGCTAAAGGTCAGAACGATTCGTTGTAAGATGACGAGTTATAACCATTGTAATAGTAATAAAATAAATGGTATGCATACAATGTGTAGAACGATGTAGAAAACATTAACAATAATGATAACTTATTGTGAGCTTAATGTGCATTAAGAGGGGTGTGTTATGATAATCCTAGCTTTCAACCTCACGTCCGATTCAGTTCAGGCATTATTCGTGTTGTGCTTAGCTTTAAACTAATAAACCTTTTATTTAATATTTGGTTAAAACAGATTTTTATCCGAAAGGTCATATTAGCAACCGAAAACTCGCTCCACTACTCTGTAATTTGATACTGAGTAACATATAACTACGTATTGAACTTTATGCCAATCAAAATTCACTTTTTAAAAATCTGTATATCGTCACCAATCTCTCACAAGTCTTATAAAATTGTTATGAATTTCAGCTCTAACACAATACCGCGTTCTTTAATCGTTTGCAAACTTCTTCCATATCAGATTACATTTAAACAGCTATACGTTATTGTCTATATTTATTGAAATCCAGATACGCGCATTCAATTTACAAATGCACACTTCCGTCAAGTATTTTTGCAGTCTAGAAGGATTTTGAATATCACCAATCTGCTAAATATCACTCAATCACTAAATAATTAAAGTTTACTTATAAATTTTCGTCAGTCAGTAACCACGTAGAACTTCGTACGTACGTACATCAGTTCGAGTTGCCGTACCACTTATAAATGAGCGGAAATCATTCACTATGAAATATATTAGTTTCTATGTTGCTGTAAA